TTTAAACCAATAAAAACAAAACATTCAAGTTGTATACATAGAACCATGGCATGGCCTGGTGGTTAGAGCACTCGACTCTCAATCTGCGGCTCTAATCTCAAACCTCTTTATCAAACATGCTCACCCTTTCAACCGTGGGATCGTTATAAGGTGACGGTAAATCCCACTATGTGTTGGTAAAGAGTTGGCGGTAGGTGGTGTTGATTAACTGCCTTCTTCCTAGTCTATCACTTCAAAATTAGAGACGCTAGTGCAGATAGCCCTCGAGTAACTTTGCGGGAAATTGAAAAAACAACAACAAAAAACAAACAAACAAACGAATACATAGAATCACCCCCACTTGTTCTTTTCAACTGAATATTGCAAAATTATATGGTGTAACTTCCAAGCTGTTATTTGGTCTTACGGAAATGATACAGTTGTATAAAGAGATAAAGGGTTTGTTTGTTTCTTGTTAAGCACAAAGTTACACTATGGACTATTTGTGTTCTGCCCTCAATGGGAATCAAATTTATTGCTGACTCACTGGAGGTTAATATCATTTAAGGATTATAAAACACACATTTTTAATTATGTCAAAATGGATTTATCACACGATCCTCATGGAAAGTTTAATATTACACAAATGTCGAATGATTGGTCACATTTCAATAGAGAAATTAACTTTATTCGTTTTGCAAATAGTGAAAAAAAAAAAAACAACCGTTATTTATCTTTTGATATCATGGAAAGTTAATTTACCAAAGTTCGAAAAAGTAAACATTAAACATATATTCATAATGGATAATTGATAATAACAAGTCTTCAAAAGTTATTTCGATTAAACCTGTAAAATATATTTAGTTTTCCATCAATTAACTTAGTTATTTTAGTTTTGGTTTCATATATTACCGTTCTTTGAAGTACATTTCAGCCTTTTAGCACTACATGTAAGACCTTTATAATTCTTTAAGGCTTTCTGAAAAAAAAAAACATACTTGAAAATCACTGGTATTATTTCAGCATTGAACTCACTTTGAGTACAACATTCTTTTGACGTTTTGGGAAACGTTCGTTAACACTTTAAGGGTTAAAATCAAAAGCAGTTATGAAGTATAAGACACCACATTTCATTGTCTTTCGCTTATATAAATATTTCAAGTTACCCTTTTTTAAAAACATATTTGCATGTTTAAACGTTATATTTATAACGTTGATGATTAATAAAGAGTTAGCTTCCCTTACATTTCTTTTATTTTCAAATACTCAAAAACATGTGAAGAAAAACATAAGAATGATACTGCTTCCGTGATGGTGAAAGCTTATTTTATTTTTTAAATTGTTTAATTTCTACCATGTGTATGAATAAATCGTGTTATCTATTTATATCAGTGTCACTAGGTCATACATATGTTATGCTAGTATATCATTTCTGCTTTTGGAAGCTATGAACCCAGACATTTTCCATCATATGTTAATGGTAATGACAAGGACTGGCATTGGACAAACTTTTGCGGTTTTTTAAGTCTCATTATGAACGTTTTGGTTTTGATTTGTATCAATCTCATTATTGTTGTATAGTGGTGATTTGATCGCCTATTTACAATTAATATAGTGTATAGTATCTGCGTTTAGATCATGTCTGAGAGATGGAATATCTCCTATGCTTTTGGGAGCTATGAACCCAGACATTTTCTATTATGAGTTAATAGTGATGACAAGGACTGATAAAAAGTTGCGTTTTTTAAAGTCTCATCGTGAACGTTTTAGTCTTAATTTGTATATATCTGTGAGTGTGTGTGGCATGCGTGCCTGTGTTTATTACATTAAGATGTTGTTCTTTTCCTTAATACATTTGTGTTGCATTTCAAACTTGTATTCACACGAAAAAAACAACAAAAAAACTGGTCTAGGTTATATAATTATATACAGCGTTTTATAGAATCTTTTGTCTCTCATTGTCCAGCCCAGCTGATGAGTTCTGGTATTAAATTAAAAGTTTATTGGATAGCGACTTGTGGATGACTAAAAGGTAGATTTAAATTACTATTTTTACAAACTTCTGAGTTCGAGCCGCAGTGGACAAATTAAGAGGAATGCAGGAAAGAAAAAACTTCTGCAGTTAACTTGTTTTTACGACTAAAAGTATATATATGCTAAATTCTGTTTCTCATGCATGTCACTAGGTAGAGTCACGTACTGAACTCATCTTTAAACGTAGCCATAGAAAGGAAATATCTGACAACCTCTTTGAATAGCTTTTCATCAACCCCACTATCATTATTTTTTTATGAAACTAAAAAACTCAGTTTTATTCTGTTGGTTGTTTTCATGTTATTTTATATTAAAATAGTGTTTTTTTTAGTCATATTTTCCATGAATATGACTTGAATTGTTCATGTATATAATAATAGTATCTTCTATCAATTCGCTATGGCTTCTCTTTCCCTTCTGGTAGTTTGGATTCTTGTCATCATGCCTAACCGCCTACTCTTTCTTCTTCAAAACTAGCTCTCTTTTGTATAAGATTAAGTGTATAAAGTTTATAGCTTTTGTAGGTCTTCAATTATGGTTCGTTGCCTATTAAAAACAAACAAACAGCAACAAAAAACAGTTATTTTGAAAATGACCTTATGTAGTTGGATAGAAGAAACAATCGTAGAGCTCCCGACTCTAAACTCATGTATTTACCCAAACTTTTTCTTCTTTCTATTTTTACGAATTTGTTAGTCTTTTCAAATGCCTTATAGACTTCATACAAAAGTAATATATTGTACAAAAAAGGAATTGTACGATACATTTCTACATTGCCGTCACTATATTTTAGATTCATAATGGGTCACTTTCATGGAGAATGTCTTAATTTTTGTTTCTTTGTCATTGAGCACAAAGCTACATAATGGATTATTTGGGCTCTGCCCACAGCAGGTATCGAAACCCGAATTTCAGGGTTGTAAGCCGTGAGAGACTTTAGCCGTAAAATTATGCGTATATGCTGAATTAACTTCTTTTTTGTCATTTTATTTCTCTTCAGTTTTAATGTCTTCCGGTGGGTCAGCGAAAAATCCGGAGTTTGACTCCTAGCGGTGGACAGAGCGCTAAAAACAGAACAAAAAACAATAACAACAAAAAACAGCCAATCAACCAATCAGCTCTTATAAATTTGGAAGGGGACGGAGGTACAGTGCCATTTATAGGATAGCTGTTCGATTTAAGCTTCGGGTTTTCTTGCATATAAAAAAAAATCACAACAAATATGAAAACATAATTCATTTGAACATTTATTCATGAAAGTACTTAAAATACAGTGACATTTATTGGGAAGGTAACAAATCCAACTTAGTCTACGAATTAAAGTTAAATAAAATCAGAAACATGAAAAATAAGGAAATTACTCAGTCAAAACTTTCATCTTAGTCTTTAGTGATTTTAGTCTTGGGACTGCCTCAGAACCGCTCCCTCGGCGGTAAGTTCGATGGTTTATGACACTAAAAATCGGGCCCGATATTCGTAGTGGGTACAGTACAGATTGTGTAGCTTTGTGCTGATTAAAACCAAACAAACGCCTCAGAAACAGAGAAATAGGAATGTTTATACAAATAATTTAAGTTTGTTTGTTTTGAATTTCGCGCAAAGCTACACGAGGGCTATCTGCGCTAGCCGTCTCTAATTTAGCAGTGTAAGACTAAAGGGAAGGCAGCTAGTCATCACCACCCACCGCTAACTGTTGGACTACTCTTTTACCAACGAATAGTGGGATTGACCGTCACATTGTAACACCCTCACGGCTGAAAGGGCGAGCATGTTTGGTGTGACTGGGATTCGAACCTCAGATTGCGAGTCGAGCGCCCTAACCACCTGGCCATGCCGGGCCTGAATTTAAGTGCAAAATCATTTTTAAAACAACATTTTAGTTTTGTGAATGACGATGAAATAAAGTGGGATAAAAATCAAAGTAAGCCTTGATGACAATAAAAATGCTTTGTTTTAATGCTCTAGTGGATAGGGTTCGTGCATTAAGATAGTAGCTTTTATATCGATTTTCATGTATTAGAAGCTTGTTAGTATTCCTATAGAGAAAAAAAAAGTAAATAATATTTATCGTGTTCTATATTTTGCTTTGTATTTTTTATTATATATAAAAAACAGCTTATCTAGGTTAGAGCTGTGTCATAACAAATTTTCAGAATAGTACTAAGACCAAATAATTTGAAAAGTATTGATCCAAGTTCAATAAGTGTAAATAGATTTATTATTTGTTTACCAGTTGGTAATACATGTTATTTCTTTCTTTGCTATTTTTGCAATGAGATATTTGTGCTGTGTCCACCTTAAGTACCATAAATCCGATTTTAATCGTTATAAATCCCAAGACGTACCGACGAACCACTGGAGGGTATATATTTTATTAACGTGACTAATTACTTATAATTAAAAGTAAAATAAGTTAAAATACGTTTAAGGCTAGATTTATAGAAAGTTACAGGTACCAAGAAAATCAAATTTAATTCGAGGTTTAAATTTGTTATTAATGCTTAGTTTAAATTGAGATCAGAATACATGAAAGTAAAACCAATATCGCTATATAAAATGATCTATAATACAAAATAGTTTAGATCAAATTAAGCTTATAATGAATATAATGTATGGATTTATCAGTTTTATTTGTTTTAACGCAAAGCCACATTGTGCTACTTGCGCTCTGTCCACCATGTGGAATCGAGCCCCGGATTTTAGCGTTTTAGGTCCGTAGAGTTACCGCTGAACTTGAGGACAGATTAACTGATACCAAGTGTGATAATCTTGCTGCTAACAATTTTTTTCGTCCATAATGTCAATAAATTCTCACGTGATGAGACTAGTTTAGGAAATTGGGATACTAAGTATCAATATGACATAATTATTACATAAATAATAATAAATAATCATGTTATTAAAAAAATTAAGTATATATATATATAACATTTACCGAATATCTTTCAATTATAATTTACCTACCACTAAAATAATTTATTTCCAAGTTTTTAGGTCTACATACAAAAATATAATAATTAATTCCTGAGACTTTTTTAAGTTTGTTTGTTGGTTATTAACTCAAAAGCTGAGTAAATCACACAAACAGAAATTCTGGCTTTCAGACGAAAATAAAGTAAAAGTTTCGTCGGGTTTTTATTTTCTATTATCATTCCTAAATTCTCTCTGTCAGCTGGTGAAATAGCGGGGGACAAAGAGAACTGATTCCCAGCGATGGAGATAGAAGATAGCCCTATGTGGTTTTGCTCTAAAACAAATAAACTGTTCTCTCTCTATATAGCTCTCACGTACAGAAACTCATTATAGTTGTGTGTGCTTTATTTAGCCCTTTCACAGCATTATAAGCCGCAGAAAACAGCCGATTGGGAAAATCTGATAACAATCCAATTAGGAATTTTATATAAGCAACACAACTTTTGCGATAAAATACTTTATTATTGGCTAGTGACGAAAACTCTAACCTGCATTAATACGAAGCCAAATTCAACTGCATTGCACCTACAAGTACGGGTGTATATACATGTATGTATATGTATATTTATATATATATATAGTAATAACATACATAGAATTACAAAATGAAAACTTAACATCGTGATGTGCAAGTGGGTGAAAGTTGTCAGCAGACACAAAATAATGAAGTGAAAATATCTTAAAATGTAACCCAAAAAAGCACAAAAACAAGACACGCCGAAAAAAATCAAAACATATATAATTATATATGTATGAATATGACAAATGGCTAGAAATACGGATGAAACAAGAAATACGTCTTTTGCTGTAGACAAAGCAGTAATACACACAGGTTACTATAAGTGTTTTACTCTCCGAGCAGTAATATTCACAGGTTACTGTTAGTGTTTCACTCTTTGTAATATTTTACTTGATCAAACCGAATGTGACAACGAGATATCTACATGCCCAAACATGTTCATAAAATATGTAACAAACAGTATAACATTATGTAAGTTTCGTTATGTGTGTTTACTTAAGGTGCACTTGAGTAATTAGAGACAGGGATAATATGTTTGCTTACTTGAATTTGCACTCCATCCTCTCCCCCCCAAAAAAGTTGCTGTATCGTATTCTTTCTGTTCTTTACACAGACATCGACTGTTCTAATAAATTATTATCAGAAGGAAAATGCTTTACGTAATGCCGACATATCTAACGACATTTCAACGATCCTTCATTGACCAATTCGTAGGCGACACCCAGATTTTTCACGATATTTTGTGCAAATCTGTCAATTAGAAGCACACGAGGAAAATTCGGAAAGTGTGAATAACAAATAAACGGAGTTTTATTTATACACCGAAGAGAAAAGCTTAAACATCTTTTTTTGATTGTATATCTCCTCCAGCTCAAAACGTGTTCACAAATTATCTTGCAAATGAGCATTCTACAATCAAAGAAAGGAACTTTAAATTGATAACACGATGTTACCCTTTCTCTTTGTAATTATAGGCCTCTCCAAATCACACAAAATTTGTGGTAAATCCTCCCAATCTTGGATATTTCTATATTTATGTGGGCTATTTATGATAACATGGCTTTGTGGTTAGCTATGGATCTGCCCATCGATTGTGTCCTTTTATTTACACATGCACGCAATTAATAAATATATTAATGATGGTCAAACAAAGGAGTTCAAGAGTTGTCTGAGGGCGCTGTTGACTAGCTGCCTTCCGTCTAGTCTATCAGTTCAAACTAGAGATAGCTCTTGAGTATCATTGATCGATTACCGAAACAAATAAATCAAATCCCTTTTTCGAGAATGGTCAGTTAATTAAATTAATGCAAAAATGCTGAAATAGTAGACAAAATGGCAATGTACAGTAATGGGTCTACTTCCTTATTCAGAAATGTTCAATTAAAGTGTGATTTCATTTTATCAGAAAACGTAAACTTTTTTGGACTTCAAACTTTTTATGATATTGGTTTCACCGAAATTTTCCATATTTCTTATTTAGTCTATTTTAGGTGGCTCACCGTTTAATTCAACATTCACTGACATTTTGAAGTTAACAATTTCACAACAACTACTAAAATAGACAGCAGGAAACTCAGTATGAATTTTTGTAGAACCATATCATTATTTTCCTCCACGATTTGAAAAATATATTAATTTCTTTCTCTTTGTTCTTCTAGTTCATACCCACCTTTTTTTCCTATTATGTTTTTTATTTTTAAGATATCCAATTAGTTAAATAATAATAAATATACACATACACGCACTGGATTCTGAACGTGTAATAATAAAAGAGATTTATGAAGAAAATGTGATGTTGCTTTTAAATCAAACACAACTAAACAAGAGTAAGAAAATACATAGAATCCATTATTTTTGAATATACGTTTGTCGCTATAACAAACCGTCTGATATAAGCACACGTTATAAGATAAACGTGACACTATTAAGCAAGCAAAACTATTAAAAACCATGTGCTCAAAAATTGTACACAAAATGTGCCCTTACAAATTTTAAATATAAAAAGATTGGTTTAATTTTTAGTGCGATTTGTTAAAGTTTAGTATATATACACACATACACCCAGTTGATAAACAGGTTAATAATATTTGAAGGTTATGAGTAAGTTCAGAGATAATGAGTGACAAACTGCATTACAAATTCCTTGATTGCGATGGAAATACAACTTTGTGCAATTGTATTGTAGGTTTTATTTGTTTTTTCAGCATCACTTTGGGATAAGATTATGATGACATTAAAGACGTGATCTCGAAGAAGCAAATAGTATGATAAGACTTTATCGCGACTTTTAAACAGCGAATTAAAATTTAAGTAATAATAGGGTGGCACAAACGAAATATATCAGTTTGTTTGTTTTTCGCCACTCTATATTACTGATTTACATATATAGCATGCTTATATAATTTATAGAAAACGAGAAGCCCGTTGGTCCATTTAGGTCGTTCCATCCACTAAATTGCAGAATACGAATAAAGCGTCCAAAGCCAGACTTTTTCATTCAAATATTCACATAGTCTTCCCTTAAAATAATTGCACCCACCGCATCTGAAAGCAACTTATCCCTAAAACAATTAAGGTTGTATTTTGATGTTTGTTATATGATAAACTACAAAGTAATTACGATCGTATATAAAATATTTTGATTTTGTTGTTTTTGGTTTTACAAAATGTTAAAACGGTTTCTTTTTAACTCGGCCATTTTCGTTATCTTTAATACTTTTCTTTGAAAGGTTGCATAATATAATTTCAAAACTTGTGTTTGAGAATTATGGCAATCTTACACAATAACCCTGATATAAATTATTTATGAATCTCTGGGTAAAGTCCCCCGGTGAAACAGCGGTAAGTTTACGGATTTACAACGCTAAAATTTGGGGTTGGATTTCCCACTGTTTGAAAGTCCTATGTGTTTATTATAAAAAAATAAAAACCCTACGTAAATTGAAAGTCAAATTGACAGGGTTTACTAAATAGTAGGTCAGGTGGATGCTTTTGAATTTTGTACTTATGTTAATATTTGATATGGAATGTAGTATGGTGTTTATACATTTTCTACAAGTCTGTTTAAATCAGTTTTTGATTAATGTTTTAAAACGTATATTTTACAGACGAATAAAGACAAATAAATACTCTTTGAAGTAACACCATATGTTAACTACATAGTAAAAGTTCGATCTTGCCGGACTTCGCGCTCGGAATTCGGTCGATTTTTCCGCCACCAGGTGCTTAAAGTGGAGTTTCCTGCGCTGTTTCTTCTTGTACTTTGTACTTTTGGGGTAAGCGCTGAAAAAGTTGATTGGCGTCGTCTTTGTACCTTGCTGTTGAGAACCTATATAGGACACAAATAAAAGATATAACACGTGCTTGGAAAAAAATCGAAACAGTAGTCTGCTTACTTATTTAAAACAAATCGACGGACAATAAAATAATTTGTGTAATTGAAACAAAGTGTTCTGCTTAAAATGCGCGTGTATTATAATTGAAATAACACATTTTTTTAAAAATACATTTTTGATGTTTATACCCTATAATTCTTAGATACGATATATATTGTTTTATCTTCAGTGTTAGCCAGCCTTTTTAGACATTTTAAACCTTAATTCACTATTGGGTACATACATCAAATATATCTATATAAACAAAGAAAAAAAATGTGTCTGTCTGTTTGTCTGTCCGTTATATAACTACTCCTAGGTCGCTGGGCCAATCTCAGCCAAACTTTGTGGGATGTTAGTTTGGAACAAGGAGAGTGTTATTAGGGGATTCACAGCCTACCACTTCTATTATTGTTGTTATTTAGCATTTATTATATTTGACGTAAGTTAACGTTAGCTACATTTATAGATGGTGCCACGTCCTTACATAAAAAAAAACACTTTATTAATTTTCTATAACACAATATATACACAGTGTGGGGGAAGGCACACAAAAGTCTTGTATATCTTAGAGAGTGCATTAGTACTCTCTACGGAGGAATGCAATGAAAAAATAGCTGCCACTATTGCAAGAATACATAAACTCAGCTGAAGTTTATACCCTAATAGCCATCGTAAGGTTTATATGAAGAGCCATTTCTTAAGCTCTACTTTGACACGTGACCTTTCAACTTTGGCCCGTAATACACTTCTCTGGTCAATGAACGCCAATTAATTAATCACGTGAAACACTGTGGAAGAACATTAAGAGGTAAGTGAAGAAAGCAGGTAACGGAAAGTATCCCTACCGTCACTACTTTGTCGCTACCTCTACCTACAAAGTCACCCTGACCATCGCACAGTGTATACCATGTTTTAAATATATACATATTGAGTTCTTAAAATTTATACAAAATTTTTAGTGA